CTTTTCGTTGTAGATATGCCAGTCCTTGGCTGTATAAGTAACAAATGATATCATGACCCAAAACCGCAAGATACTGGAAAATGCCAGAATTATGCATACACCCATAAAACGCTCGATAAAACCACTATGCCTATTTTGATCCACCCATTTTTGAACACAGGTTTATTTATAGCTTAGAAGCAGGGCTGGGAGGTCCAGCCTGAGTGATTTCATTGTAAAGAAGACTACGCAGTAGTTAGTACTCTGGACCCAGATAGACAGCGAGGGTTTGGATGAACTTACGTTGTGAGGAAGTCGGCATAATCCTCGCCAGTGACCTGACTAGAAAAGTATTGAGCCGCAAGGTGGTATTTGTTACCCTTGGGGGCAGACGCAGCAAGCTGATCAGCAACCTCCTTGAGCAGCCTCAAAGCATACGACTTATCAACACGCTTGCCCTCGGCAGTGTTAACACCATGTTTGACCCATTGCCAAAGTTGACTTCGAGAAACTTCGGCGGTGGCAGCATCCTCCATGAGGTAGTTGATAGGGACACAACCCACTCCGCGAATCCATGCCTCCATATATCCAAGACCAATGTTGAGGTTCTTCTTGATTCCCTCTTCCGTGATGGTACCAGGGACGTTCATGTTGAGCAGATCGTTCTGGCCAATGGTAACATCCTCTCTTCTCACAAACAGCTGGTTGGGAGTCGGCATATGCTTGTCAAAGATCTCGGTAGCGATGCTTGCAAGAGCAGGGTGGGCAACCCAAGTGCCGTCGTGTCCAGCACGGACTTCACGGAGCTTGTCAGCGCGGACACCCTCCATAGCCTTGTCGTTGGCAGCAGTATCATTCTTGATAGGGATCTGTGCAGCCATACCACCCATGGCGTGAACACCACGCTTATGGCATGTCTGGATCAGAAGTTTCACATATGATTCCATAAAGGGAACAGTCATGGTGACCGCGGAACGGTCTGGCAGGACAAAGTTGGGGTTGTTGCGGAACTTCTTGATGACGCTGAAGATGTAGTCCCATCGACCGCAGTTGAGGCCAGAGCTGTGGTCACGAAGCTCATAAATGATCTCGTCCATCTCGAAAGCGGCAAGAATGGTCTCAATCAGAACAGTACCTCGGATGGTGCCTCTGGGCATACCGATGTAGTCTTGAGCAAGGTTGAAGGCGTCGTTCCAAAGACGGGCCTCAAGATGGCTCTCCATCTTTGGAAGGTAAAAGTAGGGACCGAAGCCCTGACGTTGGGTCTCAAAGGCATTGTGGAAGAAGTAAAGACCAAAGTCGAAGAGGGAGCCAGAGATAGGCTCGCCATCAACTGTGACATGCTTTTCCTCGAGGTGCCAGCCACGAGGACGGACAATGAGAGTAGGTAGCTTGCGGTCGGTGCGAAGCTTATATTCCTTTTGTCCCTGCTTGAAGTCGACCTGGCGACGGTTGGCGTCGTACAGGTTGACCTGTCCATTGATCATATTGTCCCAAGTTGGGGCACTTGAGTCTATTACAGTATTAGCCGACTAGATCATCTCCAGATCACGCATCCATAGACGGTCATTTTCCAGTCCATAGAGGAAGTAATTCAAGATGCAGTAAGAATAGCGACTCACCCTCAAAGTCAGCCATGTAAGTGTAGACATTGGCGTTTAGTGCGTTGACAACCATCTTCCGGTCTGTGGGGCCGGTGATCTCAACACGACGGTCCACCAGGCCCGGGGCGGGAGGGGCACCCTTCCATGTAGGGTTCTCGCGAATATGCTTAGTCTCAGGAAGAAAGTCAGGGAGAACTCCTCGATCAAGCTCGGCCTGGCGAGCCTTGCGTCGCTCAAGGAGATTCTTGCGTCGCTCATTGAAAGAACGGTGCAGCAGTGCAAGAAAGGCGAGAGCCTCAGGTGTGAGGATCTTGCGGTGGATGTCGTCAACCTTGCCAGAAACGGAGACACCCTGAAGGACAGAATCGACGGAAGCCATTGTGATCGCAAATGGAGAACAATGCTTGTTTTGACTGATGGAGGATGAGGTGAGGAGAAAGGTCAATGGGTATTATGTACTGCAGCCAGCACTTTCACGTGTCGACGATGTCTCTGGTGATGAGATGCCAGTGACGGTGCTTGTAAGTAGCTCTGATACTTTGCGCAAGTTTGAATGAGACAAGTGCAGGGTTCGGGGACACGCTCGATCTCGATGAAGGTGAGAGTGAAATATTGGGTAAGCTAGTATTGAAGAGCAGAAGGATTGGGACAAGGCAGACAATTATATACATGTTAACACTGAAGCAGCTTGTGCTCCGCACATCAAATTCCTGAAGGCGCAACGTGCCTCGGACGAGGGCCGAGGGGCGCGCCTCCGCGTCAGTGACGGCACCGGGCCTGGGGAAGATGAAGATATCCCTGCAAATGAATGTCAGATGCAACACCGCACTGTCCTCTACCTACCTTCAGTACTACGTGCGCTGAGACCAGCCCGTACATTGAAGTCCGACGATTGTTTTCTCATATTCGATTAAGCAAGGTAACTAGGTACCTACTTTTGTCCAAGTTGGCTTTCGTTGCTCCCATTCCTCTATAGCAAGGCGCTGCAAGGACGTATCGTTTGTTATGCGGGCCGGTGATTTCACAAGCTTACCGTGACAGTACAATACTGGGATCTTGGGATTTCAATCACCGTGCTTTTCCATTCGATGACCGAACAACGGCCATCGTCCGTGTTGAGCTCGGTAGCCATCGGCCTGGCTCGGGTGGATGGAGTGAAGGTTCACAGGTTAAAGGCAGTATCAAAGCAGGCAAGATCTGACGCTAATGTCAAGGTGAATAGGATGTGGAGACGGAAATGGTGGCTACCTTAACTGCCGTGACGGTCCGGGGAGCTCAGCCGAAAGGGTACCTGAACAGCTAAAATATATACTTCCAAGGGGACAAACTGCCACCAAATTTGTTAGGGGCCGTGGGCGGCAACTTGTATGCCTTTGGAGGAAGCCTTGTACACATGAGATATCACGGACGTACCTACCTTCCCTCCATCGCGACTTCCCATCTCAGAATTACTGGACCTATTCAATAGGTAGCTTTGTCAACCACCACCTTGTTTATTGCTCGGTCTTCGACCGAGATCCTACATTCGCTTGCCATCATTCTAAGCCTCTCGATGCATATCAAGCCATTCCTATTGAACCTCAGTTGCAGTGACTGCTACACTCTTGAAACTATTGACTGTACCTACATGGGTACCGCAATCAATGACACCGTAGTTCGGTCTTGACCTCCGAGACGGCCTCTCGGGTTTTACTACCAGGCCACCAGCAAGGGAACAGAATTTCAACAACTTGTTACCTTTGACTTTTAGTCAGCTTGAGAAGATATAAGGTGGTCTCGGTGAAGAAGCGTATCTTGCTATCGAAACCATGGATCCGATCTCCCGACCGAGCAGCCGAGGCAGGTGAAGGGATCCACCCATATCTCGGGAATATTACCGAACTTCTCCACATATGTTGATCGATTCGGACTTGACTTCCGACAACCAACCCCGTCGATATGGTAGATAGGTACCATCTCGCCCACAGGTTGCTCAATGGTATGTTTTATGGGGCAGTTCAAGAGCGCTCTCTGCTCACCGTACCACTTGCTTGAGCAAGGTAAACTCTATTGAAAAGAAGGTCTACCAGGTGTTTCGAAGTAACGTAAGCTTGTTTGCTAGTGCTCTCGACAACCATATTGACAAATCGACTGATAAGATATAGCAGCACTCTCTCCAGTTAAATACAAAATCAAAATCGAGTCACACATGCTGGTGAATTAGTCTCGGGCATTAAGATTATGTATCTATGCCGGTATACCCAGAAATTCAAGACTACAAGCGGGCTAGTTTGAGAGAGAGCTGGTAGTAAGTCAAACACTCCTTTGATTTGTGGAGGAGATTGAATTTTTCCCCTGAATAATCCATTACTTGATTAATGGGAAACTATAGATATTTTGGTCTTCATACTATCTGAATTACTATGGCTAGTCCAGATAAGCAATGACATGCTTTACCAAACTGGCTTTACCTGCTGAAACTACAACCCATCAGGACTCAGTGTGAAAGATGACTATAGCATCTCCATGCATCGACTGCAATTTAGTCCTAAACACAAGAAGACCCCGTCCTAGCAAGGGGTCTTTGAGTTTTGGCTGTTGGTCTACCAAGATAGTGATGAGATCAAAGGGTTGCTCGAAGCTATGAAGCACTATAAGACACAACCCAAAGGCGAAGTCGAAGCATATACATAACTATGAATTCATTCTTTCTCAAACCACAAGGACTCTGATGGTCAATGTCCGATTACTCCCCGCAGACCCTCTCTATTCGACATAAGAGCTGCAGAAAATGTATTACTGCATAAACCACAGAATCTAAACAGTGCTAGGAAGAAGCAGCCTTAACAGCTTGTAACCCAAGCTCTTTGGTTAAATTAACATTCTAAGCCCACAGTTCATGATGATTACACATAGAGAAAGTTTGGGGCATGGGCCAGGCAAGGCCACCATGAGTTTTAGCTCTCAGGCAGCTCTTGGCTGAAATCAGCTCCGAGACACAAAACATGCTTCATACGTTTAATCAATACGTGGACTCACCTTCTGGATGCAAGCCGCGTGTTCAGTTTGCCCTTCTAGTTTTGTTTTTACATGACCAGGTTCTCAAGAGAAAATTCGCGATATAGGATGATAAAGGGACTATCTAGTTAAGGGACGACTCAGTGGCTATTCCTAGCCTACAACTATTCCCTCCTGTACTCCGCATATTCGCCCGTCCATGTTTAAGAAGAGAAGAAATCATACCTTTCACCTTGACCCAAAAGCAGAACAAAACGGAAAGCAATGGCTCATACATCCAACTCCATACAACCAATACCATGCACATAACTCTTTGCACAACCCCGTGATCCAACCCGCAAGGCTGTGTCAATAGCCAGCTTGCATCATATTTCGACAAGTATGTATCGAAGGAGCGTGGAGCTGATTGAAACACCGATATTACGAGTTGAGTGTCTTGATCATCATCTTTCGCTTGTTCCTGTCGGCTACCACCAAAGCTCTTGCGTCGAAGATCATGTTCATTGTGTCGACTACTCTGTGGAAGCTGCTGGCTGCTCCTCGCTCCTGCGTGAACCGAATGATGCTGAGTGGCTGTTTCTTACCATGCTCAATCACTGTAACGACCTCTGCGGCAAAGGATACTTCTTTCAGATTCAAAACTAAGGTCTCTGTCAGTTCTGGTGCCGCGATCATGTCAAGCATACCACTCACAGTTCTTAGCTGCAATCCGTGCAAAGACAATGTTCCTTTGTTTGTCCACTTGAATGTCTCGAATGCCGTACTTGCGCCATTCTCGTAGGAGGATGGTAACCTCCTGACGTGCTCGTCTCCTCGAAATCGTCATGCAAATGTGGTCTGTTGCTGGTTTGACTCTGAACAGGCGTGCGAGCCAGTTTTGTTTCACCTCAATGTTGCGCACTGGGCCGGAGCCAGACTCGTGCCATTTGGTCTGAGATACCTTGGCGGAAACGTGTGTCTTACCCATGATGTTGATCTCCAGTGAAGGTCGCTCTTCTTTCTGCTCAGGTCCTATTTTCAATGTTAGATCACCATGTACGACTCTGTTTACGGAGACGAAATGACTCACTGGCGATTGACATAACAGAGTCTCTTTGTTTATTGCTCTTCCAAAAAGAAAAGTGGAAAGTCTTCTTCTTAGTCGGAGCCTCTGTTGACGTTGAATCGCTTCGCTTCCCATCACTAGAAGTCAAGTACGAAGTGCAATCTTGCCACTCAACGGACTCCTGGCTGGGCTCTGACTCAACTTTTGAAGATCGTTTGAACCAAGACAGTTTTTTTTTCTTTGTTGCCGCCTGAGCATCATGGCAAGGGGGCTCCAGCGAAAGTGTTGTGGCAGTGGTGCCACCATCCACACTGCGTTGCGACGCCGAGTCCAATTCTCGAAGTTGTGCAGCAGGAGCCGAGTTCCGTTGTTCGGGTTCAGGGGCCTTCTTCCTTACGTTGAGTGGCTCGGGAATCTTCACCGGGCTCTCGTCACCTGGCGAATGGACCACACGAATGCTGTTTTCGACTTGACTCAAGTATTCGATGCCACGGATTCTATCAATCCCTTTCTTTGTTGGTGTATGCGGAGGCGCTGACACGATACGAGCTTTGTCGTTGGCCGCTGCTCCAGCTTCGTTGATGGATGGCAGCGCAGCACTTCTTTTGTGCTTTTGAGTATAAGTCGGAGCTGAGACAACCCGGCGCTCAGTGTGTCTCGTAAGCAGAACTGGCTGGGCTACCTCGACCTGCTCTGAGCTCAATTCTTCCGAATAAGATTCCCCAGTCACTGGTCTGGAACCAGTGGGTGTTGGGGCCAACGAATGACCATTGTAGCTTGGCGTCGGAGTCGGCAGAGGTGGAAGGGGTCGGTTGCTGAAAGACTTCTTCGAAAGCTCGAGAACATCTGCGGCCGAATCCTCGGGTGCGTCGATGGTGAAGGAAAACGGTGTAGATTCGTACTGGGTGCGGTCTGGTTCAGTCAGCGAGCCAGCGATGGAGTCCTCTTCTATCAGTGAGCTTTTGAACGCCTCGTCACAGTCCTTGGCAATATTGCTGCTAAAGTGGCGCAGTTCCTCCTTGAAGATTTCGGAGGCGTATCGGGACCCAAGCGCTATCCGTAACGCTTGCCCCGAGGAGCGTTTTTGAGGGTCATGTCCATCCGCCAATTTTGGAAGCACACCACTAGGTAGGCTTGGGAGTTCTGGTGTGTGAGATCGAATCATTTCGATCTGATATGTTGAACCTTGCTCCGTAACATAAGGAGGCATTGAGCCACTCCTATTGCGATTGGAGGATGACGTCGATCTCTTCCGGACATGTGTGAAGTCAACTCCACGCCTGTGTCGCAAACTCCGCGCATGAGGTGTACCTTGCCGACTGCTGTGCATCGAAGAGAGCGACCCTCGAGACGACTGAAGGCGCCCTGTGGTAGAATTGCGGTTTGAGGTCCCGCGTCCGCGTCGTGCGCCTGAGCCGCTCCGAAGCCTTTTTGGCTGCCCAGTATAAGAACCATTCTCTGCATAAGAGTAACGGTGGACACTGACCAGCGACTGTCCTTTTTGGGAATCACGAGAGTGTATCGCACGTTCTGTTTGGAATGGTTCCTGGTTTATTGCTAGCTCTGGCTCAGTGGCATTCGAAATCACAGTGAACCGTGATATGGAACGCCCGTGACCGTTGCCGCTCGGCTGTGCAAATTCGCATGTCGATACGCGTTTCTTCCATGTGCCGGGCTTCATATGGTGGTAGTCACTTGTAGAGTGGGCAAGCTCAGGCTTGAAGTCTTCCAGTTGTTGCTCGCGGTAGTGGTGTAACAACCAATAGAAAGCCTTTTGATCATTGGGTCTGCAAGTGTCAATAGTGCAACTCCAAACGCCAGAAGAGGAGGCAAATACTTACTCGTCACATGTAAGCTTGAGCTTTAAATCATTTTCACTAAACATGTGCCACATAGATCGTAATTGTCGAACCAATTGCGGATCAACATCCTTTGTAGGTACTGGGGTATACTGAAAACCTTTGCGTATATCAGGCGGCTGGCTGTTGATGTCACAAAGGTTATCCAGATATGCATACTTCCGAATCAGAGGATGGCGCCATATATCCTTGAGAGTGATGCGTCTATCGGGGTTGACCTGTAACATTCGCCTGATCAGGTCCTCGGCTTCTGGGCTGAGGAAACTTGGCATCTCGTACTGTCCTTTCTTCGTTCTAGCCATCATCACACGAAGATCAGGGTCATCGAATGGAAGAGTGGCTGAAAGCATTGCGAATAGGATAACACCCATGCTCCAAATATCTGCTCTGTCGCCCCTATATTGTCTGTTCTTGAGGAGCTCAGGTGCAGCATAGTGAGGACTGCCACAAGCTGTAGCAAGTTGGTGTGTGTCTGTTTGATGGAGAGCAGCCATGCCAAAGTCGGCAATTTTGATCTGCAGATCGGCACTGATCAAGATGTTCTCAGGCTTCAGGTCTCGATGGCAGATGTTGAAGGAATGGCAGTATGAGATGGCGCTGATGATCTGTCGGAAGAAGAAGATAGAAACTTCCTCACTCAGGCGGCCCTTCATGTTGATAAAGGTGAACAAGTCACCTTGGTCGATATATTCAAGTATCAAGTAGCTAAATTGTCAGTATCCTCTTGCAAAGTCCCCTGCGTGGAGCACTTACACCTCTGACCGGTTTTCCCAGATATCGTATAGTTTCATTATGTTCGGATGTTCGATGAGCTTCAAGATTGCCACTTCTCGCTCAATAGCCATGGGAACACGCATCTCGCCATCGATCTGTTCTGGGAGATTATTGTCCCACTTGCTAAGAGCAGCCAAACTACTATCTTGGACAAGATACGCCATCCGTCTGTTGACAATCTTGACGGCAGCCAGCTGATTTGTACCTGTGTGGCGACATAGTCTTACGCGCGCAGATGAGCCTTTGCCAAGGGTCCTGCCTAACTGCCACGGCCCTATATGCGTCTTGTAGTTCTTCTTGCTGCGGCCACTTCCTGAAGAATCGTAAGATGCCGCCGAATGTCGACGTTCATCGTCCATAACACTGGGAGGCTTTAAAGTGGCTTGCTCTTGAGGTGTTGAAACTGGAGGCTGCTGTTGAGTAGGAGGTCGGCCAGAAAAGTATGCAGTCGGGTGCCCATGGCTTGTACGTGCGGTATTGTTGACAGCCGATGAGTTAGGGCGGTCATACCGCGGCTTGTGGCGCTGACCTTCCTGAGTAGGATAATTCGAGTTGATTCGATTCGATGCTTCGGATAGTGGTGAGCGAACAATTGACACCATAGTATCGGCCATTGTAAACGCGCTGAGTGTGGTGAATCAGCACATAATATTGCAGCCACAAAATCGCACGCCTTGCCCAAATGCCGGAGAAATTGAAAGAAGGGCTTGCTCGTGGATGTCACAATAATTATGATGAGCCTGGCCTACGTGACCTGAGTAGGTTGGTATTGACAAACAAAGCACAAGGTGTTGCGATAGTCGAAGGAGCAGAAGAGGAGTTGTAAAGTAGAGAGGGAGAAACGAAGGCGTTGAGTGAGCGGGAATGAGCGAGGTTAGCTAGGGATCAGAGATCCAGGAGCCATAGGAAAAAGAAAGAAAGAAATGAACGACACAAGAGACAAGAAACAAAGTCAGTTCGGAGCGACGGGAGGGGAATTTCTGAGAATGGAATGCAATGTTTACACCGGCAGATATGTTTGGCAAGGCTGGTGTGGGCGATACCAAGGGAGAAAAGGCTGGAATATAATAGTTGCAACTGGTTGGCATTCGACTGGCATCTGCCACCTGCATACACCTGCCAATATGCCAGTATCGCACCACGCACGGTCAGGTATGATATGGTGGGGAATTCTGGTCAACAACAGCTGGCACAAGCTGAAAATTGAGGGTCTTCTCTTGCATCCAGGCATCGCGATGCATTCCAGTTCTTCATGCAGTTCGAGTTCATGGCCAATGACAAGACCTTTCGAATACCACCACAGTCCTTCTTACGCAGGGAGAGGTTAAAAAGCACAATGAACAATCCAAGTCAAAATGTCGCATCAGCAGTCAGCTCCATATGAGAAATTCCTCATTCAATAAGATGGCAGGCAGACATCTATGTTTGAGGAGATCGGGGAGATCGAAAATAATGGTAACTATACCACATCGCAAAGGAATACTGATCATTCAGTGCGGAGAGAGAGAACTTGTACTAGACTAGGTCATCTCAATAGTCCACATAGAAGAATGCCTGTCACTAAGCTCCCGTTCTGTGCTCGAGACTTCTCGAGTCAGAGGTCAATGGCGACATCAGGGTCAAATTCTCACTGACGCTGGTGTTGGTGAGAAGGAAAACAGGTTCTGTGCCAACTTGGGTTCCATTGTGTTGTCTTTGATCCGTAGGGGAAAAGAAGGCAGTATTCCGCCTTCACAAGCATGATCAAGCTGGTGGTACTTTGGAGATGAAGTGATGAAGTCACCCTGGTAGTAACTGGAATCTAAAGGGATGAAGTTGTCTGACCCTCCTTTCAAGGGGGTTCTTGGCAAATGATGACTAAGCTACAGAAGACTTAAGGTAGTATGTAGCAGTAGGTAGAGGTGATGGATGTATAAGACGCTCTAATAGCCTATCAAAAATAATGTAGGTTGTTTAACGATGGGTCAGCTCATCCTGTGGCTAACGAGACACTCTTTCGAACTCAGTTCACTATTGAAAATGTCCTCCAGTTCTAACCGGCACTTGACAACAAGGTAAAGGGCATCTCTTTAGCTTGTATGAAACCAATGCGCGAGCTTTAAAGTAACATTAATATCCATACCTAACGAAAGTAACCAATCGTATAAAGAACGTAATAATCACTCTCAGCTCAACAGTACTCGCCTTGTAGGCAGGCGGTTAAGTCACAGGGTTTTCTGTAGATGGTTCCCACCACTTTAAATCGGCGCCACATTTACAGACGCGCACTGACGCGATTCAGCGCGTGCCGCATCCACTATACATCGACATCACCATCTTTCTTTGTCGTGCATGCGTTGCCACTCTGAGAACCAATCACCCTAGAGGTCAACGCCATTCTCTTGATTTCTATATTACTTTCTAGGCCAAAATAGGTGGCGTGTCTCGCCCGATAGACGAGATGGCCCCGGCATCATCACGTCGCCGCCGCCGATCCGATACAGACAATACCGACGAAGACCACGACGAAACTCATCACGGACGCCGCTCGTTTGCCGACGATATTGGCTCTTCTAAGCGCCCTAGACTTGACGAAGATGGTGATCACGATGTAGCCTCCGAGCAACTCCATCACGGGAAAGTGAACGGTGCACCGAACGGAAATGAAATGGATGATGGCTTCCAACCAGGTGCCATCGTTAGAGTCAGCGTGCAAAACTTTGTCACATACGAAAAGGCAGAATTTCTGCCTGGGCCTCACCTCAACATGGTGGTTGGCCCAAATGGCACTGGAAAGAGCTCTTTGGTCTGCGCTATCTGTCTGGGCCTAGGCTACAGCCCGAAACACCTTGGTCGTGCTGGCTCAGTCAAGGAGTTTGTTAAACACGGAAAAGATACGGCCACAATTGAAATCGAACTCTACAGGCGACCGAATCATCGCAAGAACTACGTCGTCAAGGTTCAAATTCGTCGAGAACAGAACAATCAGAAATGGTGGCTCAATGGTAAAGAAACCAGCCACAAGGAAGTGCAACGGTTGATACGCAAGTTGAAGATTCAGGTAGATAACCTGTGCCAATTCCTTCCGCAGGACAGGGTTGTCGAGTTCGCTGCCTGCACACCTGTGGACCTTCTGCGGGAAACTCTTCGCGCAGCCGCCCCTGAAGAAATGCTAGTCTGGCAGAAGCAACTTCAAGGATTGGACAAAGATAAGAAAGAATTAGAACAGGCTACACATGTCGACGCAGAAACTCTGAAAAACTTGGAGAACCGACAACAAGGTCTCCAGACGGACGTGGATAGGATCCGGGAACGGGAAGAAATCATAGAGCAGGTGAAAAATCTCAAGTCAGCCTTGGTTTTTGCCAAGTACTCGGAGGCTCGTACAAGACACAAAGATGCCAAGGAGCGGAAGAAACTCGCAGAGAGGTCTCTAAGGCGCCTCGAACACGACGCCGGCCCCTCATTACAGGCCGTGAACGAAAAGCAGCTCTATGCCCAGCAAATTGATGAAGCGACATTGGCAAGAAAAACATCACTGAAGAACGCAGAAGACGCTGCGAAGAAACTGGCGCGTGATGCAAGCACCGCTTCCGACAAACTCAAAGAGTTCGAGAATGGTCTTGACGCGGAACGCAAAGGATTTGACGCCAAGCGAAAGGAATTGGCCCAGTCCAAGTCAAAAATAACTGCTCTCCAAGCCGATATTAGAAACCAACCAGAAGAGTTTAATCCTTCCGACTTTAATCAAAAAATTGTTAGAAATCTACCCACGCGATTGTTGGTATTCGCTAACTACTTGTCTGCAGCGAGGAGAAGAACACAACCTAAGAGAATTAGAAGGAGAGCTACGCGAAGTGTCTAGCCAACGCGAGGAAGTAAAGAACAAGGGCAAAACGATCAACAATGAGATCCGACAAGTGGAGAGTAATATCAAGTCATTGGAAACCCAGCAAGGTCAACAACTGAACTTCATGCGGAAGAACTTCCCCGAGCTAGCCACAGCGTGGGCATGGATCCAAGAGCATCAAGGAGACTTTGAAAAGGAGGTTTTTGGCCCACCCATGATCAGTTGTTCCATCAAGGACGAACGATATTCGGATCAGGTGCAGTCCCTTCTTCAAGGAGATGACTTCACATGCTTTACAGCACAAACGAAAAATGATTACAAAAGGCTATCAGACGAGCTCTACCGTGTTCAAAGCTTGTCTGTCGTTATTCGATCTTGTGCTCAGCCTCTCAATGCCTTCTCAAGACCCGTCAGTATAGATGAGGCAAGCGACCTGGGTCTCGATGGTTTTGCCATCGACTTTCTTGAGGGACCCGAACCCGTTCTAGCAATGCTCTGTGCTGAAAAGAGGCTTCACCAGTCGGGAGTCTCTCTCAGGGATCACAACGATGCTCAATACGATCGTCTGGTCAGAAGCGGCAGAGTTAACTCCTGGGCAGCCGGTAACCAGTCTTTTATCGTCAGGAGACGCAAAGAATATGGACCCCAGGCCATGACCACCCTCACCAAGAACATTCCACCTGGGAGATTCTGGACCTCACAGCCCATTGACGCCCAAGAGAAGCAAGAAATGAACAAGCGATTGGCTGAGTTGAATGGTGAAAGAGACATTTTGAAACAGCAATACCATGAGTTGCATGAGAAAATCCAAGCCATCGAGGACCGACGGACCAGCACTCATGATAATATTGTAAGTAAAGGCTGCGGATTGATTTTATCCGCTCTGATGCTAATGGGATCCAGACTCGACTCAAGTCAGAAAAGAATGCCCTGCAAAAAGAATACCAAAAATGGCAGTCTCTGCCTGAGAAGATCGGTGAGAATCATTGAATGATGGATGCTATGCCGCAACTTTGCTGATACGTTTGACTAGAATCCGAGGAGCGCTCCAAGAGAGCTCATGAACAATCCATGCAAGATGCACGCAGACGAATGGTCGACATTCGTTACGACTGGGACGAAGCGGTGCTTCGTCGGGCTGAGATTGTTCTTCGCCACAAGGAAGCCATTGAAAACATACGAAGGGCACATCAGGCACTCCTCGAAGCCGAGATCCGCGGCATTGAAGCCTACTCCGATATCGAAGGTCTTAAAGGACGAAATGCACATATCATGCAGCGTCTTGATGCTGAAAAGGAGATATTGCAACAGGCCACCGATGACGCCAGTCGAGCGCGCGACGAAGGCAACCGTCTCTCCGACGAGGTCCAGCAAGTCCTTGAGCATGAGCCAGAGAAGCGCGAGCTATTTTCACAACTCTGCGAAAACAAGTCTTCCCAAGATATTCAAGAGGAAATTGGTGGAGAAGAGGCGAAACTTGATATAATACATGTCGCCAATCCTAATATAATACGGGAGTTCGAAAAACGCGCTGAGGAAATCGATCGTTTAACACGAAAGATAGCTGGATCCAACGATCAGCTGCAGGGGCTGAGCCAAGAAATCGACGAATTGAAATCCAGATGGGAACCACGACTTGACGAACTAGTTTCAAAGATTAACGACGCCTTTGCATACAACTTTGAGCAAATAAGTTGTGCCGGTGAGGTTCGTGTTCACAAGCCGGAGGACTTTGACGCCTGGGCTTTAGACATAATGGTTCGTTTTCGGTACGTCTTACTCTTCCTTTCCTGACTTGTTTTTACCCGGTTCTAACCTGTGACTTCCAGCGAAAATGAAACCCTTCAACAGCTGACAGCACATCGGCAATCCGGTGGCGAGCGAGCTGTCTCCACCATCTTCTTCCTCATGGCTCTTCAATCTCTAGCCCAATCACCGTTCCGTGTCGTGGATGAGATCAACCAGGGCATGGACCCTCGCAATGAGCGTATGGTACACGAACGAATGGTCGAGATCGCATGCCGTGAGCACTCAAGTCAATACTTTCTCATTACTCCGAAACTCTTGACAGGTCTGCGATATGACCCCAAGATGCGCGTGCTTTGTATTGCGAGTGGTGAGCACATGCCTCGTGAGGGGCGTAAACTTGATTTTAGACGATGCTTGAATATTCAGAAGAGGCTTACGGCCGCTTCTGCTTGAGGCGTGAGCTCACGCGTTGTTTCTTTCTCATACTTTAACGACAGGAAGCAGTGGGTCAAAACTGGGTTGTATCGTTCTGTGCGGCATGGGTAGGAGACTAGGCGAAAAGAATTGAAAGTCGACGTGGACATATGATGATTTTATAGCATTAATAGATACTAGAGGTCTTGTATTCGGGGATTTCCAACCGCCGTGTCCTGGCTCTATTCTTGATCTGTCCCCCCTTTGAAACGACGTGATCGGAAAAGTATGTCCTGGCTTGCACTCAATAAGCATGAGTGCAGAGGAGGGAGGAAGGTGAATACTTCAAATTCAAACTAGACAATACTTCATTTATTCATTGACGCTTCTCCCAACAGTACGTTGCCTCGTGCTATAAAGTAGGATCTTCCTATAAAAGGCAAAGACACCATCCATGCCTATCTTCTTTCCCTTGCTACCATAGAACCGATGAATAGAAAAAATTCTCTTATTTTACATGCGGTATTCTTCAAACATGTAGAAGAACAAGTAGAACAAAAGTCCGCCAACCCAACTCGTCGATAAGAAAAGCGGAAAAGAGGAGGAATAGATAGATTACCATCCACTCTTCGAAATGCATTAAATTTCAGGGAATCAACCAAGCTGAAATGTGCGAACTGAAACAGAAAGAAATCTCGAATATAAAAACAAAAAAGGGTTGTCTGCTAACTGAGACAACAAACTCCATTTCCCATTTCCACCTTTGCGAAGATCAGGAAGTACAGGCACTGACCATTGGCCCGGATAAATCAAAACGAAGACGGTGGGTATATTCGAGTCATGAAAGCGTATCGGCAGCCAGGAAGTGCTTCGAATCAGGGATGTCGGGGCTTTTCGCCATCACTGTGGTGTTCCTCAGTATCAAGTCTTTTGCGCCAATCCGCAAGGCTCTCGCTGAGGCCAACACCTGCAGCGGTATCGTTGTCCTTCTTGACAGCAGAGGTAGTGTCGAAATCAAAGTTGGTGCTCAGTCGATAGTTCTTGTTTGTTGCTTCCCATTGACTCCGAAGGGTCTCAAGTTCGTTGGCAAGACTGTCCAAGGCAGCACTGTTTCTAGCTTCCAGACCACCATTCCCACTGGTGGTGCCTCCGTAAATACTCTCACCTTCGGAACTTTCTTGCCTTGAATGCCCCAGTCCTAACCCATTAGCACTTGCAGCCATCTCGGAGTTCAAGCTCGGCACTTGACGGCTGCGTCGGCGGTAGTTATCGACAGAGTGCTCGACTTGGTCTAGTAGAAGGGCCACTTTCTGTTCAGCATCGGTAGCGCGTTGCTCCAGTAGCACATTCTCTGATTGCAATTGTTCGAGATCCTTACGATGGTTGCTCAACTTCTGTGTAGCCTCTTCGCTGTTCTTTAAAGCTGTTTCGCGGTGATGATTGGTCTCCTGGAGTTCTGTTTGAAGGTCAAGGAGTCGCTTCTCCATTTGAGCAGAAGACTCTTGAAGCTCTGCCTCGAGGCTTCGAATGCGCGCCTCAAGCTCAGTTTTCTCATTCTCCCAACCAGGCGAGGTAGAGGTTGTGCTACTTTGAACACGGTCTTCCAGCTCCTCGATCTCCGTTTTCAGACGGCCGTTCTCTGTCTTATATCGGGATAATTGATCTTTGAGCTGCTTGAGCATCTTCTCAGTGCCTTTGACATAGTGCACAGCCGACTGATAATCGCTTTCAAGTTGCGAGAGCTTCTCACGCCAAGCAGCCTCGGATTCCTGAATTTGGATTGCAAAGGCTTGCTTAGTCTCTTCATGAGCAGCTGATGAGGTGGCGAGCTGAGATTCAAGATCTCTGACACGGTTCAGATCAGGCGAGTTCGTTCGTGGGTTGGGAAGATTCCGAGCACGAATAGAAGCCGTTGGGCTTATGCCACGTTCACTGAGGATGTCTTTTAGTGCGTTGTGCTGAACTGTCATCGCGTTTGTTTCAAGTTGTTGAGCGGCCAATTGATTCTTAAGATCGGTATTGGCTGCCTGTAAGCTTTGTGTATCACGCAGCGCAGATTGAAGCTGCCTTCGAATGGTGACTCCCTCCCGGCTTGACTGTTCTTGGTATTGCTCAAGACCAGCGATACGTTCTTCTGCGCCACGTAGCTTGTGAACAACAGCCTCGAGCTCCTGTTGAGATTTCTTGACCAATTCGTTCGAGGTGGTGAGCTGATTCTGTAAAGCAGCAATGCGCTCGGCATCTGCCTTGCTTGATCCAGAAACATCTCGAGCAGAAATTTTGTCAAGGCCAGCAAGAACCGCTTGACGGTTCGTTCTAGCCTCAGCCGCATGTTTCTCTGAAAGCTCTTCTGCATCGCGTAGACGCTGGGTGGTAGCTACTAGTTCCGCAGTACGAGCTTCATGCTCAAACTTGAGCTTGTTGAGTTGTGCTTCAATCTTCTCTCTCTGAGATCGTTCTTCAGCGAGCTTCGATTCCAAAAGGCCTGTCGAGTCCTCCGATGCTAAAATTGCAGCTCGCAGGGAATCAAAGGTTTCACTGTGGTCCTTTGAGCTCCCAATGGCTTCTTCGTACTTCTGTTGCACATCATTCTTCTCGATGCGGAGAATTTCAACAGCAGCGGCAACTTCAGCGTGCGCAACTGAGTGCTCTCGTGCTTCGTGCTGGGCAAGATGCAACTCAGCCTTGAGGCGTTCAACCTCTGTCGACGTTTGTTGTTTATAACTTTCTAATTCTGCCATACGCTTTTGGGCTGCATTCGAGGTGTCGTCTGCCAACTGTCGTGCCTTCTTCTCAGAATCAAGTTCGCTTTTCGCAGAATCGAGTCGCGACTGAAGATCTTTCTGGATGTGTAGTGCAGTTGCAAGTTTTCTGCTCAACTCACTAGACCTTCCTTCAAAATCGTCTCTTGGGCCATCAAGCTGTGGTGTACTTGCTGAGCTTGTTCCTAGGTGGGCAGCCAGCTTAGCTTTAGAATAAACAGCTTCTTGAATGGCGGCATCGCGCTGCTTTTCGGCCTCGGCAATTTGCTTCGCTGCAATTACGGCTTGCTTGTCTACCGCTGTCTGAACATTTGCTAATTCAGATCGCATTGCCAGTAAAGCCTCGATAAGCGGTCGGTCTTCGTCGTCAAAAGTTTCGGTAGCCTTATTGTCGAGCAGAGGGCTGTATGAAGTATTGGGCACGTAGCCGGCCTTTCGCGCGAGCTCTAACTCCGAAGCATACCATGCGTTCCTGTTTCGGGCCGAGTCCAGTTCCTTTAGAAGAACAACTGTTTGCGAGTTTCTACCAGAAGACCGCCTGGAAAGGGGGTTGCTTGGCTGTCTCACGGGGACTGGCGGTGATGCTGGGCGGGGTGTCATTGCCGGCTTGAGAGCAACATCTGGAGGGGCATCACCTGCTCCTTGAGGACGGGTTTGTTGAGCTGGCTTCGCCTTTGAGGCGTCTCCATTCACTTGATCCTGCCTTGAGCCAGCGCGCGCATTTTGCTGGACTGGCGTTCGTCGACCGTTCGATATAGGGCTTTCTGTTTCATTGATCACCTCTCGTGTGATAGGCGACCCAGAGTGCATTGTTCTTGGAGAACCTGAGGCTCCACTGCGTTCGGCGGACTGTCCTCTGACTCGTGCAACTGCAGACACGTCAACCGTAGGCCTAGCGGGCATTGGCCCCTGAGGGGGAGGGCCAGACGGAGGCATGGCTGAAGCTCTAGGAAGTTTTGTACCAGCGGTTGCAGACTGGGGGTTTTCTGCGTCACCGTTATTGGGCGGCGATCGTTGCCCATTAGCTGGAGCAGAAGCACCTCCTACAATCAACTTCCTTGAATCCGTTGGCCCGTTCGATCCATCTCGTGCAGGATGTGGCCGACTGCCTTCGCTCGCACTTGGTCTGCGTGAACCGTGAGCGCGTTGCTGAGCCGGCTGCTGCGCATCGTTCGGATATCGGATCTTTGAGGTATCCAAAACATAGAGAAGGCCCAAATCGCTGACAGATGTAGTTGCTGAACTTGGCTCCCCGCCCAGGACCACAATCGATTTGCCAACGGTTGTCATACTATGTCCAGAACGGGGAGATGGGGAAGGGCCCATGTTCTGAAATGTGTACCACCGTCTTGATGATATCCTAAAAGCTGCGAGGTCGCCAAGATCTGTCCCTTCTTCTGTTCGTCCTCCGAAGACGTACATCACATCGTCTACAAGAGCAGCAGCGTGCCCCTCCCGTGGCGCTGGGATATAGCCAATGCAGTCAAATTGAGACCACTTGTTAAGAGCTGGATCGTAACACCAAACATCGTTGAACCATTGGAAGCCATTCGTACCGCCAAAACTACAAATATATCAGTTTCGTTCGATACAGCTCGGCTTTGATACTCACAGATACATCTTATCGTTAAATGTGATCATAGTGTGATTAGTACGAGCCGCGGGCATCTTGGGGCTTGTTTCGCCCTGAACCAAGATTTCCCAGCGATTATTTGGCATCTGAAGCTGGTTGAGATCGAATGCCGAAAGATCGTTCATAAACAACCCCTCAACTTGGCCGCCGAAGACGTAGATTTTAGAGCCCAAAATGTTGAGTGAGTGGCCATAGCGACCTGAGGGTCGCGGCCCAGCTGGTAGAGCGCGGGACCATTGTCTTGTTGCTGGATTAAGGTTAGAGAATAGAAACCTGGGGGACAATGGGCAAGCTTACAGGTGTTTAAAAGATAGAGCGTCTCGTCAAGAACATCAGCCTCGTCGATCTTAGTGTCGCCTCCGTATACGATGAACGCATTGCCGACAAGCAGGCTCGAGTGTCCAACCCTTGGGCCAGGTCCTTCAGCCGTGGTTGCCAGCGGGTAGCATGCCATGTTACCTCCAGCCTCGATCATCCAGAGATCGCCTTTGACTGTTGACCCGTTGATCAGGCCACCCATGAGGTATACGTCTCCTTCTTTAGACGACACGGAGTTCACTGCAGCGCCATATCGAGGGAATGGGGAGGGGTGCGTCGAAGTATATGTCAATCGGCGTTGTGACCAAGGGTATAGAGACGCATTG